GCATGTCTTAAAAGTTTTTTCTAAATAGTCTCATTCATATAAGTTAAAAATAATCTATTTTTTTGGTCACATTCTTATAGTAAACAGTTGTTGCTATGGCCGTTGCTACGTGAAAAAACTTATACCACTGTGTACTTTCCTTAAATTTCACACTCATCTGGAAGGAAATTCGGCAAGATCGTTTCAGAGTTTTTTGACAAGTCCTCAAGGGTCTTACGCCTGGTATTTCCAAGAAATTGAATTTTTCATGAACATCGCCATATTTTAAGGTATCCTACCCCCTTAAGCATGTTTTGGTTTATTTTAATAACTCTTTAGAACAGTAATGTTATGCTTCTGTTATTGCTATTAAAATGCTATTTAAGGAACTCTGCATTTGGAACCAATCAAGCTACATTGATCACAGTTACAGACTGTCTAAGTTCATCAAAATACCATTCCCTTTATAAATATTAATAAATGCTCTCCCTGAACAAGTTAGCGTATATATGTAAGAAAAGTCAGAATCACAAAGTTGAAAGCAGACTATGAATAACACTCCTTTTCTTTAGTCTATGAGCAAGAAGTGAAAACAAAGATAACAAAACATTTGGCAGCAAGATGAAATTGTTTTTGGTCATGATATGTCTCATCCCTCATAATTCACAAGTTTCAGTTTTATAACTGATCTCTAAAAAATATTAATGAAAAAGCCAAAGATCTAACTTGTTCCTTTGTTTTCAGCATATGTGTCGGTAAACTGATGTGCTAATTAAGAAATTTACCAAAAAATCCACAGATTTTAATTAGGTTCAGCAGCTACAAATTTTAACAATTCACTTCACAAATTGAATTAAATATTGGCCATTTTCAGTGTGTTGGTGGATGAATAAAATTAGTAGTAAGCATCAAACTATGATTTCATGGTGATTTCTTGTGCTTACTTATACTGTAAAGTGTCACAAGCTAGCCTGTTAAAAGTTATTGAACTAAACATACATGAGTTCAACTCTTATCTAATTGGAGTTTTGATGTATTTATGGTTCAGTTTCCAAGAAACTTTCCAACTTCTTTCTCAGACCAATTCTATCCATCAACATCATACCAGATCATTTACATATAGAAATTTACATAGAGACATTAATTGTATCAGTATTTGAAGAACAAGACATGGAAGCCAGTTCCTCAGTAAAATATTGAGATGCTATGATATGGAACAACTTGCCACCTTAGCAGAGGGAAACTAGGTCTTTGCACATTTTAAGAAAAAATTGGAACTTCTGTTCGAGAAAAAAATGTGAATTAATAATTTAAAAGCTTGAATGAGTTTTGTGCTGTCTGATTAATGAATATTTGCGTAAACAATTCTTTTTACATACATGTAAATGCTGTACATATCATGATTTCCATTTTAGATATCAATCAAACATTTGGAGTTTTTCACAGAGAGTGCATGAAGTACAATTCTTTCATACTGAGACTTCCTTTACTATGTCAGTATAATAATTATTTATTAAAGCTACTCATCAGTTTTGTATCAGCTGCAACCTATGACTTGTAAGTATTTTCTGTTTGTAGTAAAATAAACCTCGGTAGAGAGTGCACACAACTACCCAACCCATAAAAATAGAACTGTAACCAGGATAAGACATATTGGAATAAGAACGCTCTCTGGTTAAAAATATATTAAAAACATAAGCTTTCGGCTATCAGTCTATAGCCTTTAATGAATGAAAAATGTGGCGTGCAAGCGAAAATATATACGAATGGGGTGCGAAAAATTGAGAATAAAAACAAGCATGAAAAAAGCAAGAAGATAAAAATGTAAATGAGGCCTGAGAACATGAGAACAAGTTCAACAACCTAAGTTTAGAAGCTGTTGATGACCACCCTACCACGATCAACAAACAAAACTGGGCAATCAATTTATCCCAAAAACCGCTTTCTGCGGCAGAACGTTCCCTCCTTGAGAGGGGCCCTAAGTTTGCTCCAACCCCACGAACTATCCCTGTCAAAGATATCGTCTCCGAAGTTGAAGCCACCATCGTCTGCCTTCCC